AGATTCTGGGTCTTAGCTGAATACTTTTCTTTTCTGCAAGGAGATTTACTGGGGCTTGAAATGTGGCTTTATAAGTGCTAGACAAACGTTCTGCCACTGAGCAACATCCCCACCAACTGAATATGCTTTTTTCACTTTGATGCCTCTGACTGCTGAATCTAATCTATCTTTTAAGGACTGAAACCCTTCTGGAATTTCCTACCTGCCTTTAACTAGACTTTGACCCTGGTAAAGAAGCCAAGGCAAGACCACAGGAGTTCATTGAGTAGGCCGGGTTGTGAGGACAGAGCAGGCAGAGGGAGAGTCACAGGCTACTAATCACTGTCCAAGGTCCTGATCCTGCCTCCTGTGAGCTAGGGGCTGGACAGTTTGGGTTCACAGCCTGCTCTAGGCTGAAGTGTCACTGGCTCCTGCTCACACCACCAGAGTAACCTCCACTAGATTATAACACTGCTATGATACTGTCTGCTTTGACTTCCCACCTGGGTTCTAGATCACGCTACCAGGACTTTACTTTGCTTTGGACCCCAGGCATCAGGTCTTGGAGGCTGAGTGTTTCGAGGATTCTTTGTCTTTTCCAATAATAACTAACGGAACCAAGGCTCAGAGGTAAAAGTGACTTGCCTAAGTTCATCAGTATCATGAGAGAGCCTTGGATCATTCTCACCTGGAGATCTGCTTTCTAGATTCTGGAATCCAGGGCCATGGCAGATTGCCCAATTAGAGTGTTTCGTTTATGATGACAGTGTTGTTTGTTTCTCGTGCTGGGAATTAATCTCAGAATTTGGTGCCTATTAGGTGTGCTGTTGGTTTCTGGCAACTTGATACAAACCTAGGCATATTTGGTAGGAGGGGATATTAACTGAGGAATTACCTATATCAGACGGGCCTGTAGGCAGCTACATAAGGCATTTTCTTGATGAATGATTGATATGGGAGGGACCGGATCCACTGTGAACAGTGACATCACTGGTCAGGTAGTCCTGGGTTGTATAAGAAGGCAGACTGAGCAACCCAGGAAGAGCAAGCCAGTAAGCAACATTACTCCTTGGCAACTGCTTCAGTTCCTGCCTTCAGGTTCCTACTTTGGTTTCTTGGCATGACTTCCCCTGATGATGGACTTATAAGCTTAAACAAACCCGTTCCTTCCCCTCCCTGATGACTTTAATGAAAATGGCCATCACAGGCTCATACATAAGAATACTTGTTTCCCAGATGGTGAAATTGTTTGGGAAGGATTAGGAGGTATGATCTTATTGGAGGAGGTGTGTCCCTAACCCTCTGTGTCACTAGGGGGTGGACTTTGAGATTTTAAAGCCCTTACCATTCTCAGTTAGCTCTCTGCCTCGTGCCTATTGATTAGGATGTAAGCTCCCAGCTGCCTCTCCAGCGTCACACTTCCCTGCCTGTTGTCATGTTACTGCCATGATAGCCGTGGACTCTAACCTTCTGAAACTGTAACCCCCCAACAACCCTTTCTTCTGCAAGTTTCTTTGGTCATAATGTCTTGGTACAGCAATGGAGGTAACAAAGATATCTCTCTGAGTTTCTATGGCTCTTAGTGTTCAACACAGCCAACAGAAAGGAAATTAGGATATCAGGCAATCACTCTATCAGTGAACCACATTTTTAGCACAAATAGTATTTGCTGGTTGTGTGTGTGTGTGTTTTATTGTTGTTTTCTGGTTTTGGTTGTTTGAGAAGGTCTAATGTAGCTCAGGTCAGCATCAAACTCACTATGTGACTAAGAGACAGGTCCAGTCTTGAACTCACGATTCTCCTTCCTTAACATCCTGAATGCTGGTATTATTGGATGCATCCCCATACTCAGCTTCCACCTACTGGATTCTTCTTTTGTCAGGTGACTTACCAAGGAGACACAAACTTCTGCTTACCCCAGACAGGACACTGACAGCAAACCTAAGCCACCTCCCCACCTAGGTCTAGCTTGGTGAATCAGACAGTTTAATACGGTTACCGAGCATACCGTCTATATCACCCTGAGTCCAATCCATCATGGGTGGTGACTCAGAACAGCTGCATCCCTGGAGCCTCTGTGCGTGACTGTAGACAGCTCAGCTGAACCGTCTCGTCTGACCACAGTTGTTACTGTCTTTAGTCTTGTGCGTGTCCAGTGACTTCCTAAATCTTATGAATGTCTCACCTCCTTCCTGGGGGGAGTGTTTCAGTTGACAGGAAACAGTTCGGCTGCAGTGACCTCCATTTGCATCTGGATGGTGCCTTTTCTTCAGCCTGGTAGTGGCCCTGTGACCACCTGTTCACCCCCATCCTTGGTCATTGCTGAGATTCTTCAGCTTTGGGTGTTTGGCTCCTCGGGAGGAAGGAAACACAACTGAGTGTGCAAAAAGCTCTTAACTATTACATCAAATATATTCATGTTAGAGGCAGCTGTGTCTTTATTTGTAGAAACATTGAATATTGTAAAACACTAGGGACACCAGCAATATCATCCCACGAAGGAAAGGAACCTCACCAAGCTCACAGAGCTATTTGTTTCAAGCTCTTTGTTTCGCTCTTTGGGTGAACTCTGTCCTGGAGGAGAGAGGGAGTTAGCAGAGTGTGATTTTGGCTCCATTGCATCTCTCTGAGACCGGGGTGATGTTTTCATTTTGTTTTGGTTTTGTTTTTCTGAGGAGTCAGCAGTGGATCTAATTAATGCCATCAAAAGCATGACATTTAATTAACTAAATAACATGTTGAGCTTAATGATAACACATTTCAGCACCCAGCGGGTGGCAATGGTCTCTGGGGCCATCTCTCCGAGGCCAGTGATTTGATAAAGAGGAAAGAACCTTTCTCAACAGCGTCGGCGAGCCTTAGGGAAGAGGTCAGGTGAGGCACAGCCTCGTAGCCACCAAGAAGCATGCTCTTTTCTTCCAGACTAGGAGTTGAGAGCATTCAGCAAGGAGGTAGGTGTGTGTGTGTGTGTGTGTGTGTGTGTGTGTGTGTGTGTGTATAAGACTGGCATTGGGTGTCTTCCTCTATCATGCTGCACCTTGGTTTTTGAGACAAGGTCTCTCATTGGACCCAGAGATCACCTAGCTAGCTAGACTGGGAGGGCAATAAGTTCTAGGGATGCACTTCTTCAACGTTGGGGTTGCAGGTATGAACCACCAGGCTTAGTTTTTCATTTGGGTGCTGGGCTGGGCATTGAACTCAGGTCTTCATGTCTACACAGCCAGTACTTTACTGGTGGAGCCACTTTCTCACCCCAGAAGGCACCTTTCAAACATGTTTGGGCTTCTAGAGGTGTAGATAAATGCGGCTGTTTTCTCCATCGCTCTTCAATGTTTTGGTTCTTTCTGAAAAACCATGCAGGAACGACAGGCAGAACATGGTGGGAAGAGGCTTTCTGAAGCCAGCTTGCCAAAGATTACAGGTTCTTTAAGCAGCCGAAGAGTGGATGTGGGTGCCCTCTTGTGGACACTGGAGAATCCACAGCGATTCTCTTGGGACCCTCACTCAAAGGGCTCAGACCCTTGAGGCTGGAGATTGAAGTTTCCCGGTGGAGTTCCCTGGGTCACTGGAATGAATATTCATGGATTGTTAATTAGAAGGAAAAGTATTAAGTCCTAAGAATTCTCAGAGTTACAGCGGACCCTGGAAGGTGGTCCCAAAGACACAGACATCCACTCTGTTAGCTCAGTTGGGGGTTTCTTTACTTCTCTTAGTTCCTCTTCAGATAAGGTGGACGGACTGGCCTGTACTTGGCGTCACCAGCTGTATGTCATGGGTCCTATTATTTAGATTGTAGAGGAGAGATAAATAGAGGATTGGAGTAGTGAAATAATTCATGAGGAGCCACAACGTTCAGAAGGACAAAGCCTCAGACCAATGGACTTCCTTTTTATTTCCTTCGCCTCTGCCTTGTCATCTCCCCATGGTGATGGCCTCTCCTCATTGCAAAGGTGCAAACTCTGGGGATAGTGCCCCGGACCTCTTTAGTGGCCAGTGTCCTGGGCTTATGTGAGGCTTAAAGGGTTTCAATCACTTGATAAGGAGAAGCACTTAGTGTAGGACTGGTGAGATGATTCAGTAGGTAAAGAGATTGGGGTGCACCTATGAAGACTTGAGTCTTGAGCCCCGGCACCCGTATTAAAATCAGGTGTGACGTGTGTCTGTAATCCCAGCATGGCGGAGCTAGAGTGAGATCCCTGGGGCTTGCTGGCTGGCCAGCCTAATCAACTTGACAAGTTCCAGGTTCAGTGAGAGAACCTGTCTCAAATAAATAAATAAATAAATAAATAAATAAATAAATAAATAAATAAA